TGATTGATAAATTCATAAATCTCCTCAAAACTATATGTATATGAGAGGATTATCGACTTTATGCTCGCAAGGATTGGCTAAAATGACTCCAATTCTTACGCATAGTTCAAACTTGTGGATTATGAGAAGAGATAATACTATCACCCTATTCTAGCTTCTATAGCTGCATGGAGGTGGGCAAAAATGTTTGAATAAAACTTTTCGAACAAGCTGTATTCGATTAACACATCCGTGCTGTGCTGTAGTGTGCAATATTGAGTGCACATGTAGACAGTCATGTCCTCTAGATTCCAGAATGCATTCTCAAAGCAACGTATGAGATATATTGATAAATATTTATTTTTATCTTCGCATCTTCCTGCTTACGCAGGATCGGGTGGCGTGCGTTAGATATCCGGCGTTCTCTCGAGCGAGAGCGTGCCAGACAGTTAGATCCGCGGTTATCGATGAAACCCGGAGCGATCGAGCTGACGCCGAGCGCACCTTAGGCCCCGCCTGCTCTTACGACGGCTACGTCATATTGCGGCCGCTACCTCAGCGCCGCCGAGGAACTGTAATTTGGCGTTACGTCGTCAAAAAAACTTAATTATATTAAGCAACATGGTATATAGATTAGAAATAGATGTGTCAATGTTCTTAGTATAATAATAAGAAAATCAATAGTATTTCTCCGCCAACAACCAATTGTTGGCAGTATAAATGTCAATTTTTTGAGGCAATCCACACTCAGGAGATGTGAATACCTAGCTGCTCCGCATAATAATACCTTGCCACATTTCAGTTCTACACTATCATTCATTGCACTGTTTTGCTTTTGAATTTTATCATCGGCAACATTGTCAAGACAATTTATCGGTAGCTAGTGGGAGTTTTAAAAACTTAAACGGATGAATTCTTTTGCATTTCGCATGTATTGCATATATTTATGCTGAGGTTCATGCAGCTTTTACCGCTCTATAGCTAGCTATAATGAATTTACCGGTTTAGATTGAATAATGAATTTGCTTAGTTTAGAAAATAGATCATCCTGTTTTGGAAAAACAAAACTGTGCCAATTTGCCCTCTGATTGCGAAATGAACAATAATTGTGCCTTCACTTCCCATACTTCTAAACTAATCCCATTTTGCTTCAATTCGGATTATTCCTATCTAATTTGGAGCTGGTGTGTGGGTTGCCTCAAGATAATTGACCTTTATACCGCCTACAATTAATTGTTGGCGTACTATTGATCTTCTTATTATTATACTAAGT